AAAAAAAAAAAAAAAAAAGAGAAAAGAAAGAAAAAGAAAAAGAAAAAGAAAAAATTTGCTTTAATGGAGCATTGACTGGCTGCAGTCAAGATTTAACCTAGGCTGGGCATGGCGGCTCACACCTATAATCCCAGCACTTTAGGAGGCCAAGGCAGGCGAATCACGAGGTCAGGAGTTCGTGACCGCCTGGCCAACATGGTGCAACCCTATCTCTACCAAAAATACAAAAAGATTAGCTGGGCATAGTGGTGCGTGCCAGTAATCCCAGCAACTCGGGAGGCTGAGGCAAGAGAATCACTGAACCTGGGAAGCAGAGGTTGCAGTCAGTCGAGATCAGGCTACTGCACTCCAGCCTGGGTGACAGAGCAAGACACCATCTCAGAAAAAAAAAAAAAAAAAGATTTAACCTGTTATTCAGTTTGCAGTGACTTCTTTTCAGATTGGGGTTTTTAATTGGAAAAATACCAACCCCATCTTTATGGAAAAAATCAGGTAATACATAGTATTGAGGTAAGGAAAGAGAACTGACTTAATGATTTTCTTCATTCCAGTTATAGAATTCCTGTCATTCTTTTGGTGGCACAAGGGGCACAGCTCACTAATGTTTGGTTTGTGAGGAAAAAAAAATGTAATAGTTGGATTCTCATTGATGAGCTGCTTAAAAAGCAAAGACAAAATAGTTAAAATAAATACTCTGAAACAAAGCCCCTCATAAAAAAACCTCAGGAGGCAATTTTGACTTAGCAACATAACACACATTTGCTCTCCCACCTCCTTCCCATTAGCCGTGTCTTCCTAAGCCCTCCACATAAATTCAGAATGAGAGCCTGTGCAGAGAACATGAGTGCCTCAAGAAATGCAGTCACGGACTAGCAATTTTTCCAGATTAAAAAAAAAACCCAGAAATGTAGCCCCCAAAGTGCTGAGAACTGCCTGGACTCTGCGATGAAGAGGCACGTTCTACACGCTAAAACAGAGAGGGAGGCGGACAGCATCAGTAAAACCTTGCTCCATATATGCCAAGGATTCCAGAGCCACAAATTACTTTAGATAGAAGGAAAAAAGCTAGATGTCCTCGAGAGCACATCATGCCTTTAGAAGTGCACAGATGAAGCTCCTCATCATTATGCCTAATAAAAAGATGTAATACTTTAATGAAACATTAAAATGTTCAGGTAAGTTCCAGGTAACTTATTTTACCTGGGACACTACATGAACGTGAACTACAAAAGGATATCACGACTAAATGTGTGCTCGTTCTAAAATAATATATAATAACAGGAAATGGCTTTTACTTTGATAAATGCTTTATTCAGCATTGGCAACCACCGATAGTCTCAAATACCGAGACAACTCGCATAGCTCTAACCACACCAAAAGAAAACCACCAGCCGACATCCCAGTCACCGGCAAGTAAGTGCCTGTAGGTCTGTGACTCCTGGACCACCTCTCTCAGCACCTGGGGAGCCTGTCCCAGGAACAGTATGGCTGCTCAACACTTCCCTGAACATAAACGCTTCCTTAGTCCAGTTTACAATACTAAGTATTACATCATAATGAAAACACTTTTTGGACCCTTTATCCGCACTGTAAATAACCTGGTTATTATACAACAAATATGCATTGAACGTCTAAGTAAAAGCAACTGTTCTACGTTAGATCGCTTTTCACTAATCTGCTTTTCAAAAAGAATTCAGTACCATTTTTGGTCCTCATGTCGGAATTCCAGGATCTTTCTACTGTAGCTAATCATGATCTAAATCCCAAATCTTGAGTGTTTTAAGTACTTATCTGTGATTTTTTTATGTCCACTGGAAATAACAAGAGTGATTTAAGACTGCCAATCCAACAAAACATGACTCTGTATTGTATCTAATTTTTAAAAAGAGTAAGTGGCTACCCACCTGTTCTTATGAGAAACTTGAAGAAAGCTAGAGAAAAAATATCCAACATTTGAATATGCCAGTGCCTTACTCACTTAACCTCATGTATTTCTCAGAACCACCATCTGTGAAACATATTTTAAAAGTGTAGAACTACAGACCAACTGTTAAGCAATTTATTCAAGATCAAGCCCTTAAGGACAGGGCTGGGTTCCTAGATTGCAAGGCTTGGCCTCCGAGCCGTCTCTCTTCACCAGTTGCCCACACCAAAACTGAATATGAAGAAATCCAGTATTAGCAACTGCATTTCATTGAATCTTCATTTCTATAACTTAATTTCCATTATTACCTCCAATTAATATAAAAGTGAAAAATTAGCATAAAATTTTATATAAGCAAAGACTCCAGCTATTTTTATTGTCACTGGATTTTTATTATTTTAATTCTATAACTTATTTTCATAAGCTCTTTTTGTTCACTATTTGGGTAAATCTCATCAAATTTAAACACCCAAGACTCTTAAATGTTCTGGAGTTTTGCAGGAAAGTAAACACCTATTTGTAGATATTGATATGTAAAAAGTTCAAATTTCAGTGTATGACCAACTACAGTTTGCATTTCTCTACTGAGTACCCCTCTGTGATGGAATTTCACTGGAAAATAGTCAGCCACTTATGTCCAGCACAAATAAAGTTCACAATAATTGTTTATCCCAAGTAAACAATCAGCAAACTTAATGTTTTACTTACAATAAATATATGCCGTATACTTAGCTTCTATAATGTCATCACTCACTGCTTCTTCATGGAAGCTTCACAGAGACTGTGAAACAGATCATGGAAAGAAACTGATTTTACCACGTACGAAGTTAAAGTGAACCATGCATCACTTAGGGCGCGGTGGCTCACACCTGTCATCCCAGCACTTTGGGAGGCCGAGGCGTGTGGATCACGGTCAAGAAATCGAGACCATACTGGCCAACATGGTGAAACCCCATCTCTACTAAAAATACAAAAATTAGCTGAGCATGGTGGCACGCACCTGTAGTCCCAGCTACTCCGGAGACTGAGGCAGGAGAATCGCTTGAGCCCGAGAGGTGGAGGTTGCAGAGAGCCAAGATCGCGCCATTGCACTCCAGGCTGGAGACAGGGCGAGACTCCATCTCAAAAAAAAGAAAGAAATTAAAACTCCGGCCAGGCGTGGTGGCTCACACCTGTAATCTCAGCACTTTGGAAGGCCGAGGCGAGTGGATCACCTGAGGTTGGGAGTTCGAGACCAGCCATGACCACCATGGAGAAACCATGTCTCTACTAAAAATACAAAATTAGCCGGGCGTAGTGGCAGGTGCCTGTAATCCCAGCGACTCAGGAGGCTGAGGCAGGAGAATCACTTGAACCTGGGAGGCGGAGGTTGCAGTGAGCCAAGATCGCGCTATTGCACTCCAGCCTGGAACAAGAGCGAAACTCTGTCTCAAAAAAATAAAAAACAAATGAAAACTCCACTGACCCTTTCAATATGTGGGCAGATCAATGTTAGATGCCAGTTTAAATCAGAGGTCAGCAAACTCTTTCTGCAGAGGGCCTGAAAATAGTTTTGGCTTGTCAACTCAAAAGGTCTCAGTTGCAACTAATGAACTCTGCCATTTTGCAAAAGCATCCACAGACAATACATACGCACATAAGCACGGCTCTGTTCCACTGAAACTTTATTTATGGACACTAGAATTTAAACTCCATATAATGTTCAAACAGGTGGTGGACTGGACTTGACAAGTGGGCAGTAATTTCCTGACCCAGGGTCTGAATACAGATTCTGTTTTGACACGTATTTATTTGCTGGCAATTAGGTAACTTCATTATTAATAATAAGCGAGAACAATAATACAAAATTTACTTAAGGCTTCGTCTAAACTGCTGGTGTATAAATTTTTAAGACAAATTTTAAAAGTTACTTATGTCAAAATTAAATATACTACTAGAGGAACAAACTGGCCAAGTTTCATTTATTTCTTCACGTAACATTTTTACAGCTCACATACAGCAGGAAGCACACCTTTGCACATAATTGTGACATTAGCTTCACAACAGCATCTGCTGACTGCACTTCCAATCATAATATAGCAAGTGCAAGTTCACTTGGAAATGTACATTTATACACCTGATATAAATTAAAGATGGCTACACTATGATTCGTGATAGCAAAAGCATGACTTGAGGTTCCTTGACTAGACCGCTTGTTTAAGAGAAGTGTACCCAAGCATTTTAAAATGGCCATTTGGGGAACAGGCCAAAATATAAAATATCTATCATGTAAAATTTAACCATTTACCTTTTTAAAAAATAATCTTCAAACTTGAAACCTTTGTTGCTGAATTGTTATATGGATATACATCATGGCAGCAAGAACCACATTTACTATAGGCTGTATTTTTGGCGACTGGCCAATTAAAAAATTTGTTCATAAAGTAATATTACTTTTATTAAAATAAAAAAGCTAAATGAAGTATTTTCCTTCCACATTTAATGTGTTAGGTTGAGTTTAGTCCCCCTCCTCCCACAAGAAATCAGTCTGAGACTTAAGTGTTTAATCCAACCTATATTTGTAGTTTCTAAAATGCTGATCCACAGACCACTTTCTTGTTACACGTGTACCAATGAAAACAAAAGGCAAACAGAATCACTGCCATCCCTATGAAAGGAATGGTTCCTTTTCTAACATTCTTTAAAAATATACATTTTACACTCCCTGCACCTCAACAAAGGCGGCAATGTAATAAATACACGGTTTATTTTGTCCTCCTCACTACCAGGCGCCTGTCCACAAACTACCTGTTGTAAGCCCTCTCTTTTTTGGATTTCTCCAGGGCTTTGTCCATGGTCTTCTCGTTCTCCCCCCGGCACTTGGGACAGTACCACTTGCCCTTGGGTTTATGATTGAGCCCCACGCACGAGAAGTGGAACCACTCGATGGGACACTCGTCGTTGTCACAGCCGATCATCTCCCCGTAGGAGACCTGGTTGCACAGACAGTACGTGGGTTCGTTGGGGTCGATGGGGAGGTCGGCAGGGGACGCCTCCCGCTCCGCCTTGGCCTTGGAGCGCTTCTTCTTCTTGGAGGTCTTGGCCTTCTTCTCCTTGGGTGTGCCCGAGGCGCCGTCCTCGTGGTCGTGGTTGCTGGACGCGTTCTCGCGGTTCTCGTTGTTGCGCTGCCGCCGCGAGCGCTTACTGTTGGGCTTCTCAGCCTGCGCTGCCGCCTCGCCTTTGGGCCTGTCCGCACCAGCCTTGCCGCTGTTGCCCGCTGTGTCGCCCAGCTCCTGCTGCGCCTCGAACAGCTCCACGTGGCTGTCCACCTGCCGCGTGCGGTTCTCCACCAGCTCCACCATCTGGCTCACGATCTGGATCTTCTCATCGCCCAGCTCCTGGCTGCGAATCAGCGCGCGCTGCACACAGTGCAGCATCCGCCGCTTCTGCGCCCCGTCCGTCTCGCGGCTAAAGCGCTCGTAGCACTCGTCCAGCTCCTTCAAGATCTCTGGGGGCAAGAAGGACAGGCATCACTCGCGAGCAGGACATCGGGACAACCCACACGGCCCCGGACCCGGGTCTACGGAGAGGGCTGGCAGGGGGCCCAGGGGCCAGCGCACGGCTTGCCCAGCCCACCAGCCACAGGCCCTCCAGGGCCTCCCTGTTCCTGTGCCCTGGAACTAAATGCAAATGCCAGAACAGCTCCCACAGGAAGAGGAGCCGCTCCAGCCATCCCAGAGAGAACCACAGAACAGTTCCCACGCACGGGTGACAATGCCCGAAGCCATTAAGAGGAAACATTTAAATGAGGTGCAGTGCTCGGGACCCAACCTGTATTAATACTTTCTATTAATGATTATGTCCTATACTGCCATCATTTTTACTCAAATGTTTCTATTTGAATACAATTATTAATATACATATAACATTATATATAAACATGGTATTTATTACATTATACACAATATACAAACGATAAAATATAAATTATTTGAATATTTCAAATAAAAAAGGTCTCTATTTTAACATACCAACATCTAGAATATCCTGTTAAATTAGAGAACGTGTATAAATTTATATAATAGCTCTCTATGATGTAAAGAACCGGGTTAACAGCAAAGGTCCAGGCTACTTTGTGTTAGGTCCTCAGTTTCAGTCCCCACATTTATTCTAGCATGTTATTCCTCTGTATTAGTGAAAGCAAGAACAGTTCTGCCCCAATAATCCAGAAAAACCTAGCTTTGCTTTATTATTATTATGACTGTTGTTATTATTATTTTAGGGGCAAGGTCTGTCTCTGTCGCCCAGGCTGGAGTGCAGTGGTGCAATCTCGGCTCACTGCAGCCTCGACCTCCCAGGCTCAAGTGACCCTCCCACCTCAGCCTCCTGAGTAGCTAGGACTACAGGAGCACAACTGTGATGGGTCATTATTATTATTTTTTAACTGCAGTGAATGTACTAGCCTTGCTTTAAAACAAAGCTGGTAGATTTTACTTTTGCATCTACTGCTTAAACAAAAACATCTTCACATCTATTAAAGTCAATGGACTTTAAAATGCCATCAAAAAGAAAAGAAAACCTCTTCAGTATTTAAATATAAACCTTCTTGGGCATGTTAGAGGACAGTGCATATGATTTTAAAGTATAATTAGGCAATTTCTCAAGAAACAAAAGCTGTTAAAAAAATCTAGTTGAAATAAGGGCAGTAAGCAGTCTTGCCAAAAGGCTACTCACAAAGAAATTCCAGAGTTCTTTTTCCTCAAACAATAACCATTAAATTAAACAGTACCAGATTATTCTCCTAAAACCTTTTTGCAGTCTCTTTAAACAAGGCAACAATACTACTTTTTTTGTTGAGACGGAGTTTTGCTCTTGTTGCCCAGGCTGGAGTGCAATGGCGCGATCTCGGCTCACTGCAACCTTGGCCTCCCAGGTTCAAGCGATTCTCCTGCCTCAGCCTCCCGAGTAGCTGGGATTACAGGCATGCAACACCACGCCCAGCTAATTTTGTATTTTCAGTAGAGACAGGGTTTTCTCCATGTTGGTCAGGCTGGTCTCCCAACTCTCGACCTCGTGATCCGCCTGCCTCAGCCTCGGAAAGTGCTGGGATTACAGGAGTGAGCCACCGTGCCAGGCCAACAATACTACTTGTAAACTAGGAAGTGTATGGGGAGGGGCTGGGAGTGGGAGGGATTGTCTAAAATGGTACCCCCTCCCTTTCCAGATCTTATCTCCAAATAGTTATAAGATATATACCTAACACTAGAGTAAACATAAGAAGTTGGGCCAACGCTGAAGCTTCTCTAAATGGTATTATTTTCCAGAGTATATTCTCAAACTAAAGACAGCTCTGAAGACATTTCCTAGAGGAACAATGCAGGCTGCCTGCCACCAGGAATGCCCTAGTCTCATATAGTCAATAATTATAAAAATAAATAGCTGTGTTCAACGTATCCAAGTAATACCAATTTATCCAACTTATTTATCATAGATGTTAAAATATGAGTGCGTACCATTTACTTTTAAATGGATTTAGGCTTACAAAATGGTATCACTTCTTTTCATCAGTAATCAAAGTTCTAAAGACAGTATTGTCATTTGATGGAAAAGAAAACTATCATATAAATTTAAAATTTAATAACATAGAGGTTATTTTACATCACAAGCAAGCTTCCATCCAGGTGAAGCCTAATTTTTGGGGAAGAGAAACAGATATCCCATTACAAAATTACCAAGAAGTATTTCTGTTACCTAATATTTCTTTGATACCCCAAACAAAGTATTTTATCAACAAAACCACTAAGTACAAATATTTATAGACAGGAACACCACCACTGCGAAATAGGAAGCCATCCTTCCAGACACTCTGCTCCTTGAATGCCAGCAACTCAGCTTCAGACACACTGCTACCTTTCTTCCAAACATACTCCACACCAACATTACCATGGAAAGCAGCAACACATGGAATTTACAGATTAAATGAGATTGTAGCAACATTTAAATTGGTTTGTCCAATTATTTTAAATGTATTTTAATTTTACGTAAGGGTTGCCCTGAAATTCTTTATGAAGCGGACTTCCCAGGGGGTGGGTAGGTATTTTTATAATAATGTTTGAAAAATAATTCAAGCAATCTCAAACACCATTTTAAATCGATAAACTAATTATAATCTATGTTTACGAATTAACAGACAACCGATGCCTACTCAGCAAAAGACGTCTGACTTCCTGCAGAGTAGGTCTGTGCAAACAAGCTTCGTCTTTCAGAACTACGCGGCAGAGCTCAGCATTTACAGCGAAGTCCAAGGAGCTGTGACCCTCGCGACAGATTCTCGCGCTTCTCAGCGCTCCCAGTTGCACGGCTCCAGGACTCCCGCAGGGGCGGGACTGTGATCTTTCCTGAAGCCAAAAAGTTCATCGTCCTAGGTGAACCTGCAGCAAGCAGCAAGCCAGGCTCTCCCCAGCAACGACAGGAGAACAAAGTGGCTCCGTGAACTTTGCTGTCTTGACGGCTGGGACCCTGCACCCCGCCTCGCGCTTTTTTCTATCGTCGAACGATCAGAGTGGTCTCAGCCCCTGCCTCCCTTCCGTCCGGAGCCCCAGGGTCACTCCACGGAGCCCGCCCGCCCCGAGGACAGCACCTTCCAGGAAAGTTCCCGCGCCGAGGGTCCCGCTCGTGGACGCAGCCCCAGTCACTCACGTTTCCCCGGCCACGCGCGGCCCCTCCCTCGGGTCAGCAAAGATGCGGCCTGTGACTGTCTGCGGGCCGGTCTCGCGCGTCGCGGGAGGCGGCCCGAACTGCAGCCCCAGCCCCGAGCCCCCAGCCCCGGGGTCCCCGCTACTGCCATAGCTCCGCGCCCAAAAGTGGCCGTGCTGAGTGGGGAGAGGGGCCTGGGCGACACCAGCCGGCCCTCCAGCCAATGGGGAGGAGGCCAGCGGGAGACTCGCCGCGCCCCCCGAGAGCCGCCGCATATGGGAATCGCCGATTTGGAGGGCGGAGGCCAGGAGGAGAACCAACCACACCGCAAGGCGGAAGAGCACAGCCCGCCCCAGCAGCGACAAGGGCCAATCCGAGGCTGGAGGCCGAGCGACCCGAAGACGTTCAAATCAACCACACTCCACCCCGCTCCTCCCCGAAAAAGAAAAAAGAAGACAGCGGAAACACAGACCCATGCCAGTTATTGCGCTACACCCGCCTTCATCCGCCTCAGCGACCAATCGTTCCGCAGGGGAATGATAAGGACATTCCACGAAGGACGTCACAGCCAACCACCGGAAGGCTGAGGCGGGACGTTCCACAATATGCTAATGAGATTCCTATAAAAGAAGCTGCGAAGCTACGTCTTGGATAGAGCGCGCAGGGGCGCCTTCCCGGTAGGGGTATCTGGCGCTTTCGGGGACGGCGATGGATTTTTTTTTGCCCCCACCTAACTCTTCCGTTTCCCTACTGCGTAGCCTTGTAAACATTAGTAAACTCCGAGTGGTGATCCACATTCAAAACAGAGCCCCCAAAGCCTTGACTGACCTCGCAGAAAACTTTCCCCAACAGCCAACAATTCCCGGCGGACACGAACTCGCCACCTCTCTCTGACACCCTGGGCGGCCAGGTCTGCAGAGAACGACCCACAGGTCCTCTCATCTGCCACAATCCTCTCCAAGCCAGCGATCTGCCCGCGCCCCCCCGAGCGCAGCGCTGCGCAGATGGGCGCCTTCCCCGCCTCCGCTCCTCCCCTTCCCTTCCCCACGGCACACAGAGAAAAACCCTCGTCCTCCGCAAACTACAACCGGCGGCGTCGCCCCTCGCAGTCGGCCCTTACTCGGTGTCCAGTGCCAAGTGAGGGCCGGAGGGGACTGGGCGGGGGCGACCGAGCTACCCCGAACGGAGTACTACCCGGTACTTTATGTAACACTCGGATTGGGGACTGGGTGGGGGGCGGCGAAGAAGGGCCGGGGGAGCGGCGTTGCTCCGGACCGAGGCACCGGGTCCGCGGGAACCCCGGCCCACAGCCGCCCTCCTCCTGCAGCCACATCTCGGCGTCCTACAGCCCCAGGCGCCGGCACATCCCTCCATCTCGCGCCGTAATCTGCACCCCCTCCTAGAGGACGCGGCTTGGACCCGCCGCCCCCTCCCCCGCAGCACCCGCCTCATCACTTCACTACAAAGAGCGCTTTGGTCGCGCAGCCTTGCAGCGAGACCTCTCGCGCCTCCTTCCTCCTCCGTGTCCCGGGCTTTGGACACAAGGACCTTGGCGAATCAAAGGCGCTCCAGACCTTTTGTTCCTGCCCCTGCCGAGGGCCGCCGCTGCGGAGCCGGCCGCTTCCTCCGCTCCACGGCAGGACCGGGCCGGCTCCGCGGCGCGCCCGGACCCGCCGGGATGGAGGCGGCCGCCCCCGCCCATCCATCACCCGGCCGTACCTTGGTATTTCGCGTCGATCTCCCGCATCAGCGAGACATTTCTCTGCAAGTCGAAAGGCAGGGACTCGATGGAGTCCAGGTAGTCCTCCACATAGTTCACCAGGTGGAGCTGCTCCCCGTTGGCAGGACTCAACATGGTTCACCCCGGAGGTCCCCGGCGACTCGGCGCGGCTTTCCGCTTCCTCCACCCCCCGCCCCCCTGAAAAAATAGCACTGCAAAATGCAAAGCCCTCGCTCTCCCGGCGCCCCCCGCCGGCTCCTGCTCCGGACCGGCGGCTACATCTGCCGAGCCCG